TAGGCGAAACTTTTCGAAACTAAGCGTTTAGGTACGAACATATTTAGTTCATGACATGATAAATGTACAGAAAAGGCTTATTAACACAACGCGAACGAAGAAGTTAATCAATCGGGTGACTGATCAGTACCGACGTTTCGGTTCGTCTCTCACGTGCCTTTTTCAGGGTGGTCCGGGTTGGTTTCTGTGGTTGGCTGTGTAGCCAACAGTTGCTGTAGCGTCTGGACCCGAAGGTGTGGTCCAGCATGCCCTTCCCTGATAAGAGAACCATCAAGTACGTGTGACCAAGTCAAGATCTAGACAGACGCCATGATGTCCGACTTATAAAAATTTCTTCCGACCGATAATCTATAGAATACCAAACGTGGAAGATCGAATGTTTTTCGCCGATGATGAACCTTCCCTGTATCGCATGGAATCTGAATTCAGCAATACACGATGTCATCGAAATCCGCAAAATCATTCATAACTAATGTCGTCAGAATGTCAAAATATAAATACCTCTTGTAGCCTTAGAATAAGCTGTCAAGAAATTAGTTTACAGCTAGTTTAAGCAGCTGCAGTACCTGTGACGACTGAAGTCAGTTCATTTAACAGCTCTTTCTAAATTCCGTCACAGGCGGACGCAAGATTGGTTAAAAAAATATGGCAAGCATCAATATTAAGAGATTTCTGTAAGATTCATGGGGATTTTACACTGCTCACGGATGATCAATCGACGCATCAGTCAGTAGCCAGTTTCAGCAGCTCGGTATATCTGCAAAACTATGCACATAACCGGCAACTTTATTAATGATACTAGCGTCGTCACTCATCCTTCTCAGCGTGCACAATTTGCATAAAATTATGAATGTGTTCATCATCGTAACTCGAGTACATGCTGAATGAGACTGCAACCACTATCGCCCCATATAATTCACAAAAAAACTTGTATCACTCGTCGAAAATGTTACTAGAGCCGTTTTCGTAAAACCATGCATCCCTTGTAACTCTACTGATCTCACATTCCTTATGTTTGACACTACAGTAAATAGGGAATAGCATTTATTGATATTCTATATGTGCAACCATCGACAGTTGGAGTGTGTCACTGTTGTAGAGAACAGTATCAAATCAGAGTTTCAGAGACGTGAAAGATCAGTTGGAAATAACTAAGCGAACCGCGTTCTTTACTTCTCAATCTGTGCCCAACTGGCTACTAGTCAAAAGAAAGACATGTCTAACTTTGTTTTCGCACAAAAGACGTTCACTTCTCTTTTTTACTTCGAACCGTTTATCATATTTTCCTTTTCTGCTATTTTGAAAGTGTGCCGTGAAGTCCCAAAAATTATTCGACCGCTTTAGCAAATACACCGCATTATCGACTCACTTACTTACCTACTTGATTTCCGACTTATTACAAGTTAAGCTACAATTATTACAATATTTTAATGTGCCAGTCAACCGGAGACCATTGTGGGCTAGTTTCACATGCACGATTACTAGGCACAGTCTCATCGATACTGCGAACAGAGAGTAAAGTTCTGAATGAAACAGTTTAGCTAACTGATTAAATTTATAAGTAATGCCTGAAGTAGCTCGTAATTAAAATATTTACTTTCATTATTATTAATTTCGTCCGGTTTAAATTATTAAACTTTCCTTCTTAATTTATTAAAATTAACGTTAGCTGTCGATGTTTTCGAAAAGCAACAGACTAATGTCCACTTATTTAACGGTCGGCTAATTTCTCTTTTGTGAAAATTTTAAATTTCTAACTTCTTGACTCCAACCGTTTTGTACATAATGATGTGCAACACCATGTCGTAGTAGAATAGCCAAAATCAATTCGAGTTACCTGATCCGGGGGCACGTTAGCGATCGCTCGTTCATATGCGTCTCTGATGACCTCGCAATCGCAACGTTCGCTTTCCAATAGTTTCAGATAATCGAACCAGACGTCGTAATTTAACGGATTGTTGGACAGTAGGTCTTCGTACTGCCTCTTGCGTTTGTTCACAATTACGCTCTCGATGTCTGAACGGTCACCATATTTCTTTTCGTGAATGGTGTAGTTTTTGTAGATCAGCTCGGTGCGGTTCTTTGGCAAGTGATCCAACGCGAACCTGTAGATGACCCGAGCTCGTTCGTGCTGAAAAATAATATACACTTGTTATCAAGAGCATGTGTGTAAGATAAGACGGTCAAGATTGGGCTATCATCATTACCATTGCCAAGTCATGTGTAAAAGCACTGAACACACCGTTGTCACAGATGGAACATCTGTCAAGGTTTCAACATAAATGATGCCAATAAATTGATTTTACGCGACAAAATAATGAAAATTGAATTACTGACGGAGAGCAGAAGAAAGTTTTGATTAAGAGCTTATTGCTTCTATATATCAAACCATTAAATGAATTGAATGTCAATACTGCTTACAGCGCTTTTACAAGATTATTACTATGCCCGCTGCTGTACCTCTGCCTCAGCATTGTTGACAGCACATTTACACTATGACACTGAAGTTGGATGAAGCTTAGCAGTAATGCAGTAAAAGCAACACAACAGGAAGTGCAATAAAGCAGGCAAAGCGAAGAAGGGTACCTGGCGAAGAACGCATTTTAGCGAAACTAGTGGAATCAACAGGTGAAGCAATGACTAAATTATTTGCGCGCTTATTTTCAAGTTCTTCAAAGGAACTTAACAGTCCAGACAACTGGACTACCTGATCGTGATTTACACTGATCGATCGAGAGGGGATTTTAAGAATTACAGGTCGATCAGACTGATACCAACCATAAGTAAGATCTTCACGAAGGCACTGACGATCAGCTTTCAAGAAAAAATTGAGGCTGCACAGCCATAGGAGCAAGCGGAATTTAATAGTGGATATTGTAGACAGATCATCTCTAGGAGGCAAAACAAGTGTTGCTGACAAGCAACGAATATCAGTTTCGTCTTTGACTGGATTTCATCGTTTTCAAAGTTTGGGGCTCAGTGTACATCCGTTCTGTACTGGATTCTTGGAGAGACATGGAATCGAGAAAAGACGAATAAACCTGGCAGCAATGATTTACAAGGTTGCAACTAGCAGTGTGAAATTTTACGAAGTCAAAACCAAGCTTAAAACGGAAAACGATTTTCGACAGAGAGAAGCGACATCAACGAAGCCGTTCACAGCAGCCGTAATAGAAGTTTTCAAGATGCTCCTTTTGGAAGTTTAGGGGCTGAATATAATGGGAAACCTTAAGCCACTCGCGGTTTCAGATTAAACACTCATCCTCTCGAGGACATCCCAAGAACTGGAGTGAAGAATCCAAGAAC